GTTTTTGTTTTTTTTTTTTTGTNTTTTTTTTTTTTTTTTTCATATTCCCAATTCTCTGTGCCCCAAATATCTCATGGCCCTTGGCAAAAGTATCTTTTTATTCCCGGCCAGTATCCAAGCCCACACGGCTCATCTTTAACTACTCAAAATTTGCGCAAAATTTGGGAGCTTGGATGGGGATATCGTCAAGGGATCCTCCATGTTTCCCGACATTCATTCCCACTAGTGCAAACCACTTCCTCTCAAATTTTAGCCTCCGCTAAACCGCGCTCCCAGCGGAGTGCTTTCTCCTTCTATGCATCCCTTCGATGCTGCCAGTCACGTCAAACTCCATCGACCTCCCGAGCTCCAGTTCGGTCGATGCTCTCCCCAGGCCGTCACCCATACCTCTACTGCCCCGCCTTAGACCCATGATATCCATATCTTCCAGTTCTTCATCCACAATCCCGTCCATCTTCTCCAGCATGTCGAGCACCTCTTGCGGCGGCTCCGTCCTGAACAACGCGTGGATATCGGCATAGGGGTTCAGACCAAAGAACCACTTACTGTCCTCTCCGTCACCTGCGCTGGGCGTCGCGGATTTGGCCCACACCCGTCTACGCTCGTAAAGTGCGATCATCAGGAGGACTGGGAAGTTGATGACTTTGATGGCTGCAACGTTGATGTGGTGGAACATGGCTGGACCGACTACCAACTTCAGTGGGAGCATAACTGCCAAAGCGAGTAGGTTAAACGGAGGCGGATAAGCAAAAATGGAGTCGCTCTTGACGCCCTGGAATGTTAGGACAGCACGGCGGAAGTAGATTTCCGCCTGTGCATTGGAGATAATCTTGGAGAAGGTGTTGGTGAGCATGGCCACAAGGATGGTCAAGAAAAGGGTGTTGCCGAGGAAGGCAAACGTCACGGCCAAGGCAGGGCCGAGGATGGTGTGGAAGTCGGCCGTCCGTTCGATGCCGGTGCCATCGAGTCCAAACCAGATCCACAGAAGCCATTTTCCAATGGTGGCCCAGCCTGGACGATCCTCGATGGAGGACTGGGCCGTTACTAAACCTGCGGCGACATCGGCAGGATCCGGGGGCGCGCCCGTGCGCATCAGCCAGAGAAGGCCTAGCAAGAAGCCGGTAAAACACCATATGGCGATAAACGTAAGTCGGGTGAAATCACGCATCATTGCGTGTAGGGCGATGAAGACAATGTTGTCTGGCATGAGAGTGAAGGCTATGCGGGTAAGTAGAACCGGGGCGGCGACGCAGAGGATAGGTATAGCGTAGTCGGCCTCGGGGTAAAACCACAATTCCGCAAACCGTACAACGCCATATACTCCAAAGATGAAGGTAAAAGTAAGGTCGAGGAAGCTCCAAAGGTTTTGAGCGTGTACCTCCCAGCCGTGTTCGACCAGAGCGGCAAACTGTTCTAGAACCCAGCCGGTTGAATATATCACAAAGGCAGCCTCGAAACCCCCAAATGGACTTCCACCTCCGTCATAAAAGTCGTTTCGATGTGTCATGGTCAACACATACAGGCCTAGAAGGATGGTGAAGTGGGCGAGTTCGAGAAGATTTCGTAGTCGAGGAACGATCAGTCGGCGATGGTTGAGTATGGAAGCTCGCCGTGGTTCGTAAAGCGATACAGGGTGGTACTTGTAATGATCCGGGAGGATATCGACAAACGAGAGCGGAGTGTACACAACTTGGCCGCGGTAGACAGCGTTGACGATGCGCTGACATGCGACTGACCCGATCAGAAACTTGCTCTCTGACAAAATGGCCAACTCGAGTGCCGTAAGTTTCCGCTCGTGACCGCCACGGTCTTGATACGGCCATTGTAAAGAGCGTCGGTATCGGCGAAGCGGATCGGGTGCGGCATCAAACGGATCGAACCCTGACACCAGAATATTGGCAAGAAGCAGGAGTCCTGGACGATCTGGGTGGTCTTGGTGGAAGCGTCGAAGTACACGGGTAGCCAGCAGTTCGCAGAGAGCGGCTCGAGAGTTATTGACAGCCACATAGAGGGACTCGTCTGTTGCGGAACGTTGAAACTGGACGCGGTTGGCGAGAAGGCAGTAGACGACTGAGAGGTTGTCGGGACTATACAGCTTCTCAACCAGGGGCCGAACCATCATATTGTCCATGCGAGGCGTCTGCAGTTGGTCGAGTGTATAGGGGTCGTCGATGGCGGCAATCACCAAGCGTCGGATCCTGTGGTTTGCCTGTTAGCCATTGCCAGGCTCTTATTTCCCCCCTTCGAAGCCCTATTCGTACCGATGGATGGTGACATAGACCGGCAACACTTGAGAGGCGTCACCGGCCAGGTAGATGAGCTCGGCAGCATCCAGGCCTACTTGACTGCCGGGGGCAATGCGCCCACGGCGACCGAAGAGGGGGGCCACGTTGTTGGATCCGGATTGGTGTTGGAGCTCGATGTCGCTGTTCTCGCTGGTGTAGCTGGCCTCACTGGCGCTGCCGTCGTCGTGGAAGGGGTCGGACTCCAGGGGAGCGGGATGTGAAGGGTCATCGGGGGGTTGTGTGCTGGGGTGGCTGTTGGAAACAGCCATCTTATATAACGACGGTGGTGGTGGTGGTGGTGGTGTAGCAGGATCAACGAAGCAAAGGAGGGAGTTGGAGCAGTCGAGATGACAGGACGGTTACGCCAAGGCACTGGGCATCTGTATCTAGTTAAGGACCGTCATGGCGTCGACGGTGTTGCCCTGCAATATGGAGAAAGTAGTAGCTAATGGTTACAACCCGGATGGCCGGGAGAAGCGTGGAGAGTGGGTTCCGGCACACAGTCGAGGTTGGCTCCATTTGTCATGGTTCATTATCCATCATTGAAGCCCCTCCGAGCCGGTACCGCCAACGGGAGAGGCGGTACTCAGGAGTGCCAGCTAGCCAGGGGGAAACATGGACAGCCCCGGCTTAGTGGAAAGAACGGAGTAATGGAGGTCGTCCCTGAGGGTGGAGCCAGAATCCATTGATGTTCTGGACTCGAGCTGATTTGATCAGGTGGACGATCAGACAGCAAGCAGAAGTGGAAAAGGCGGTTTGAAAAGGCGGTACGTTGGGACGTTGGGAAGAGGATATTAGTCGTCAAGTTGGGGTTGGTTGGCAGTTCCATGAATACTGTGCCACACCACATCGCTGCAGAAATACTGTAGTGTTTTCGGGGTATGTTTCAGATCGCGCATCTCATCTGCGGCATCATCTGTTAGTGGAGATATGGCGGGGCTAAAGCACTGCTTAACATGGGCTAACAGTAGCGTTGGTTCCCATAACGTAATTTCTGCATCTTCTGCTTCGGCCACTTCAGCCTTGATCAGCCTTGGCAACTTGGCAATTACGTTACGCGTGATTAGCTCATCACTGCTCGTATTCTTTATCAAGAGTGCACACTTCTCGTCGCAGATGGCAAACAACATATTTCCATGTCTTCGGTGGTGTGGTTGCAAAGTCCGAGCTGACCAAAGTCAGTGTTGCCCTATCTTTGCCGCGGTCAAAGTTGTTGGAACACATCGTATCTGGTCAGATCTGCCGGCCTTATACTGGACATCGAAAACCCTAGCCTGTGCCTCAAACGACGTACTCGAATCCGGCGCATGGGCATAGTAAACTCTCACACGGTTAGCCCCGAGGAGGTTCAAAGTCTGGCCGATGATGGTGGCTGGTGCTGATGCGCGCTTCATCAAGGTGCGGCAGAGGACGGTCAGCGTTCACCTTGGAGCTAACGATGAAGGCCTTATCAGCTACTTTGCTTTGGCCCAAGAGCGTCTCGGTATTCCATGTGTTGCCCGGGTGGGCGGCGGCAGCGGAGTCGAGTTCCAAGATGTTGAGCTCTTGCAACACTGACCAAGGTTTTGACTGCGGTTGGCGAGTGTCTAGGATCAACCACATAAGATTGAGCCATTCGAAAGTTCGGAAGGCTCGCCTTCTTCAAAGAAGTTAATTCTGCTTGCTGATCGTCTTAGACACCTTAGGGTCTTCGCAACTTGCATGTTAAATGCTTGGTAAGCTCTCGAAAAACCAAAACATACCACGGCTACCGGGCACTTGTCAACAGACCAGTTGAGTGTCCCAATATAAGGCCAATGGGTGTGACTTTGACACTTGTACGGATCGCAAAACGAGGCTTGCTTCTGTATGAAATGGTGTTGTAAGAGTGACGGACAACATGCTTGTAACCCGCTGGCCGTCCAAGATGGACATATCAGAACCACTCACAAACACCTCAGTGGCTACACCTCGAACAATGGAGATGACCGAGGAGATACAAAACAACCCCACCATGGCTTCGGCGCGAACAGGCTTGTAAAGCTGCGTCGATAGAACGTCACACGCAAACTGCATGTCAAGCGTGTTACATGTGCAATTGTGACTTCGGGTGATTTGCTGGTCATGATCAATATCTTTCTATGACTTGCCAGCTTTTGGGAATGGAGAGCACTAACGAGCTTCGAGGCATTGAACGCTCAAATCCATCCGAGGATATCGGACACCAGTGAGGACGACTTCTACTGTTCAGGCAACTTGAAGCACATCCGTTTACAAAATTCAGCAATCGAACCTAACAAAAGAACACAGAGCTTGAAAGATAAGAACAACTGAATCACTCTTTACGAAGCCTCTAAATCAAGATTGTGTTCACGACAAACACACATCACAGACAACTGTCGACATACGTGCGCAAGTCTAGCTTGGTCGGATCACCTTGACGTTCAACCTTGGCCAGAACCATCCTCTCATCCCAGCGAACTTGCATATCTCTGACGACTCTCACAACCCATGAAACCATGATTCTCCTAGCCCGGAAAAAAACCTCTACAGAAGCCGGCTGGATCGTATTCGCCGTTATCTTCTCCACTTTCAGCTCCGCGCTCATCATCTTCCTCTGCTGGCGAAACAACCGTGGTTCGAGCAAAAAAAGCAGCAGCGCACAACAGCAAAGCGGAAATTCAGAGTCAAGGGCAATATCCAGGCGCTCCGTACGCTACTGGTACTATTACCCAGAGTACTTTACTGGTTACAATGGATCATCAGAGTCATCAGAATATCATTATGCAAATCCCGGGAGGGACTATCATCTGGAACAAACCCCGAATCACTACATCTATCCACCATCATATCCTCCGTGCCCAGATCCGCCGCCGCCCCCACCACAACCACCAAGGACACCGCCGCATATAGCAGTGTACAGAACTAGGCCGGTTAATGTGATGAGCTTTTTGGATCGAACGCAGATGCCGAGGAAGCCACCACCGGTGACAGAAGTTACTTCACCGGAACGGACGAGTACACCAAGTCACGAGAGTGGCTCGTCTTCTTCAAGCGATTCTGAGCCTGATGAACCTCCTCCGGATGAGGATGGACCTCCACCCAGTGGCCCCTCGGGCGGTCCCTCGGACGGCCTTCATCCAGATGGTTCTACGCCTGGCTCAACTGCACCTGATGCGAATCCCATGGGTGTTCACTCGCCCAAAGAAGACGGTAGCGTGATCTCAAAACAAGACGTTTCTGAGGCACAGGCAAATTTCAGCAAGCTTATGTCAGAAGCAACTACGATCAGTGAGAGGAGTGTACCTTCTCAGGCTGGCTCTAAGCAGTCGACGTCAGTGAATCTTGGTCATCGGAGCATGTCAAGGGGTTCGAAGACATCGATCCAGGAGTCAGTTGTGGATGATGAGTCGAAAATACGGTCACCTGTATCAGCATCACGTTCACGACACCCACTCTCAGGCTCGGAAGCGGAATCTCAGCGTGACAATTTCGCAAGACGAATTTCAGGTGTTCGTTACGTGAAGGCTCCAATGAATGCGTCGTCAAGAGAAAGGCGCAATTCCATGCCAGCATCACCACGTTGCAGATCTCCAGCATCATCAACCAGCAACTCACCCACCCCAGCCCTCAGAGACATCACCCCCAAACCAAATTCTCATGCCTCACATTCGTCATCAAAGCCCTCCATACGATCCCAAAAATCTCGCAGGCCGAGCCTCAACCCATCATCCCCCGGCTCTCGCGCCCCCTCCCAGCACTCGCTGCTTTATGCGGCCTCCAGACACTCAAGTCTGCCCCAGTCTCCTACACATTCCCATCACTCCCAGATTCCAAGCTCCCCGAGCCGCCACAGCCGCAGCTACAGCCGTAGCCATAGCCGAACCCAAGTGTATGGCAATCCTACCTCAAGGCACTCGAGCCCGCCTCAGTCACCTACACCGCCTCACCATTCCCCGATCCCACACTTTCCAAGTCGTCACAGCCATGGCCGCCCTACTTCACGACACTCCTCAAGATCACGATCCAGAGCAGGGTCAAGGATATCTTCCATGCCCCCATCGCCGACAGTGACGGATTTCGCGCCTATCTCTTCAATTTCCCACCCGCTCCGCTCTCCAGTTCTTCCTGGCTCTCCTCATTTCTCGGTCTCTCCCGCTTACAGGTCGGGTGGGTTTAAGGTGTTGTTGAGCCTACAACCAGATGAGCAGAATGACCGGAAAGGGTCGCGCCAATCATCGAGATATTCGAGACATTCTGGTGAGAAATCACCTTCAGTAGTGTCGGTGTCGGTTGTGGAGCTGCTAAGTTTGGAGAAGGAGCAAGATGATGAGGCTGGCAGGGGGGAGCCAATGTCTCTTTTGGAGCATGAGGAGTATGAGGAGAGTGAGAAGCGCGAGGAAAGACGGGATAGTGAGGATATGATGCTGGATGAGAATGAGGTCCAGCGGCGTCGGCGTCGAAGAAGTGTCTCTTCAGATTCACAACAACAACGAGGTATGGATCTGGCTGAGTACGAAGGAGACTCTGGGACAATGGAACATGGCCATGACAGCCACGGCGACCAGGATCCAGAATCAGAACCAGAACCAGAACAAGCACCAGAAGACTACTACAGATCTTACTCACCTGTCGCCCCTGCTTCCACTACCAACCCCCTGCCATCCTCCCCCAACCATTCGGGCCACTCATCGAACCTCTCACCAAAATCTCCCTATCATCCTCGCAAATACATACCAATTCAGATACACAAGGAGAACCGACCACACCAAGCTAGTGTCTGTAGTGTCTCTGACAGCACTGATTCTGGAATTGGTGGCGTAGGCGAGGGCAAGGGTGGGTGAAGATGAGGATGAGGGTGGGGGTTAATGGGTTGGAAGTTGGTAGTGGTGCTTGTGTGAGGTTGGGTGTCAGCGGAAGATGAGTGAGTGAAGTGGTTGGCAATGTTTGAGTTGTTTGGAAATTTTTTGTGGTGATGGTGAGGCAAAGCGAAGAGTTGTGCTGGTAATCAAGAAGAGAATTGGTAGTAGTTAGTGATGGAGTAGATGGGGAAGGAGTAATGGAAAGAGTGAACGAGAACAGGGAAGGGATGCAGACGATCAAGACCATACATGATAAGAGAAAAGGGAACAAAAAGGTAGGTGCTGGTAGTAAGTTTATTTGAAACGATCTTCCAACATCTTCTGTCACTATCGTTACAGTAGCCGTAGAAGTAGCCAGCAGGGGCGTACATACCCCCTTCCTTCCTTCCTTCCTTCCCTCCCAGGTCTGAACCTGCCCAATGCCCCATGCCATCCTCTGCCAGCTGCCTCCTCGTTACTTACCTCCAATTCCATCCAGTCGATAGGGGTACATATGGTACCCCCTCGGATCCCGTTTCTAACAGACCAAAGAAAACAGCACGGTCAGCGCAGTGGTCTAGCGCGCCACTTGGATTGAGAAATAGAGTTGAAATCCCCGTAGAATCACAATCAAAGAGCGAGTTTCAGAGGGCAATCGTAACACAAATTTCCGGTCGAAAACCCGGGCTCGAATCACAGACCGTGCAATTTATTTTGCTTTTTTCTTCTCCCCTTTCTGCGTCTCCAAATTGTTCTTTTTTTTTTTTTTTTTTTTTTTTACCTTGACTGCTGGTCTTTCGTTAGAAGCGCAGCTCTTTGCCCCTGCCTAACTTTGTTTAGGGTTGAGGGACTTGGGTTTTGGACGTACACGGTCTTCAGCATTGACATCCCCGGTTCCTGCTTTTGTTTTGATTGGAGACTGAAGGGACTTTCAAAGGAGATTGTCGAGTAGAGCTTGATCTCAGTTAGCCATCCATGGATGAAGGCGTGTTTTGTGTCATGCCTTTGTACCGGCACCTAGAACTATTCGGGAGTATTCCTCCTTCTCTTTGCTTCCGCTTTTGATGATTTGAGGCCAGACGTAAAAGCACAAAACCACCCTCTCGAGCACGAGTGTTTATCCTGAGAGATCAAGTGAAAAGGGGTAAAAGTGGAGACCGACCAGCAGCAGCTTCCAGGGGCACTCCATGATATTTCCGCCACACTCTCACACACACATCGACAATATCAACTCAACCATCTTCATGTACCAAGACGCAAATGGGAAGTAAAAGCAAGCAGGCCCGGGTGACCTAAAATACCAGAGCCATGAAACGTGGAGAAAAAAAGTCAGATCAATACTTTATGTACAGTACACATTAACCAAACCAACCAACCTACCCACACACCAAAGCCATTGGTACCAATCTACTCGACAAAATGCTAGAAAGAGAACCACAGCGGATAGTATCGAAAACACCTACTTCCAAGGTCAATCAACAATGTATCGCTTTCTCTTAATTCTGGTTTCCTTCTCTTCGCCACGCCATCTTCATAGCGATATTTTCAAGGCCCTGACACAAAAGAGGCCGCAATATTCAATATTCGTAAACATAACTCACAGCAACTCCCTCGCTTCCATGTCTCAGGTAAACCCCCTCTTCCACTTCCCCGGGATGCTACCCATCATTGAGTCCTCCCCTGCCGCACCACAACTCTCATCCGGAATTTCCTCCACCGTAGTCTTATACGACGTCCGCTTTTTCTTGTTCATGGGCGTCTTGGGAGTCGTTGGGTTCACCTGGTCCTACCTGGTGCTGAACAACAGACTGCCCTGGGCCTCGGCCTGCGACAGCATCTCTACCTTCCTCTTCAATTCTCTCGTGTCCCTCCGGGTAGCCGTGATGCTCGCCGCCTGAGCGGGGTCCCTGGTGCCGGCCGCAATCGCAACCAACGCCTCCTCGGCTCTCGTCAACAGCTCAGCCACCCAGGTGGTGATGGCACCGTCGCCGTTCTTACCCGAGGCCGAGCCGCGATGCTCGATCTCGCGGATCCACGAGTCGACGACGCAGTTGATCCACTGTACAACCAACTTCCTGTGCTTGCCAACGAAGGGCGCCTCCTGAGCGTCAAACATGTTCTCCAGCACGCGGGCGATCAGGGCATGAGGAACGCCCAGCTGCAGGAAGGCAGCGACAGGCCAGCAAGGGTCGGCACCGATCGAGGCGTCCTGGTGGTTGTTGATGGCGTATGCGC